TCTTTTGACAAAAGGATGAAGTCTCTATCTGTCAGGGAAGCCGAGATATTGCAAAATAAAAAAGGTCTTCAACTTTTGAACAGCACTTTTTATATAAAAATTAACCCGGTCCTGAAAGGGTTAAGAATATATTCTGCTGCTTTAGCCTCAGTCATTTCATATTCCATCTTTTTTTCAAAACGTTCGATCGTCCAACTTTTTGTTTGTAGTAATTCCATTACTTTTGCTAATAAAAATATAGAAATTTCTTTTTTATTTCTTTTTATCAAATCAATTATCTTTTCTGCTTCAAATTGATTAAATCTTCTCTTTTTATTCCACTTTATTATATACTCAATACATTCAGTTTTATTAAATGGTTTCATTTCTAAATTTGATTCGTTGCCAAACTCGAAGTTATGTTTTAAAGTAGTATTTTTTGTTGTTATGATTGTTTGAACATTGTTTGGTAAATTTATTATCAATTCTTTAATATCATCAGCATTTTTTACATTATCAAATATAAATAGAATTTTTCTTTTTGATACTGTCAGTGTAAGATTAACCAAATTAATAGTTTGTCTTTTATTTATATCATTTCCTATGCTAAGCTCGTTTGTTGCCATATTTTTGTAATCCTCCCAAACTAAAGCGCTTGATTTAGCATTAGAAAACCACCGAACTATTTTATTATTTTCATTTCTTTCTTTAAGGCCATAGTTTGACGCAAGTGTTGTCTTACCTGAACCAGCATAACCGCTAATGATAACATATTTATTTGATTTTGAAAATATTTCTTCTATTTCCTTGAATAATGCTTCTTTTTGTATCAAATTTTTTATGCTTTCATCCGGTATATTACTTGATAATATTAATGCTTTATCTTCTCTCAAATTCATAATGTTTTTTTGTGTTAATATAGCAACTTCATTTCGTAGTTGAGATATATCTGAACTTATCTTATCAAGTTTTGGTACCATCGACTTTATTACTTCTTCATTCTCAATTATTTTATTTAATGTTTTTCTAATTTCATCATTGTCGTTTGAATCTTTTAAAAGATCATAAAGATTTTGAATTTCTTGTTTAATTTCCGATTTTGTTTTTAATATTTAATTCTTCAATCTCTTTTATCTCCTTAATCAAATCTTCCTTATGTTCGATCATTAAATCAATTATTTCTTCTCTATATTTTTTAAATATTTCTTTATCACTATAGGATGATGATAATACAGAATCAATTTTCGTCGCATAATCTTGCTTCATATTTTGATTATCACATAGATCGATAATTATTTGTTTTAGTTTATTTTTATAATAATCATAATCACCGTCATTCAACTTAAATGCAACTAAATGACCAAAATTTACATTACGTATTAACCGTAATCGATTAAAATTAGCAGCTAATGAATTATCGTTTCGACCTATAGAATATTCTTCCCACCAGCCATTTATCGGTTCCTCTTGAGTTAAACCTCGCAATATGCTAAAGCAAGATGATAAATCAAATTTATCTAAATTATTCGGTATAAGTAAATTAGAGTTCATGTCCAACATTTTCTTCTTAACGTCTCTTAAATGAGGATTACTCTTTATTATCTTTGAATTATTTGTTAAAAAATTAAAAACGTTCCCCATCAAATTTGTAAGTTGGTAACGCATAATTTGTGTGCCATAATCAATTAATATTATAGATATCTTAATTACATTTTCTTGTTCTTTTGACATTTTTATTTTTTATTAATCTATTGCTTTGATGGAAAATTTCTAAGGATAAATATTGATAAATTCAATGTTGAAATTCTCTTCAAAATAATATTTGAGATTTTTCGAATTTTACGATGAATACAGTAGAAAATCTAGAAAAGAAAACAAGCAAACATAAATGGAAACAATCGATACGATTTAAGAGAATGAAGTTTAACACATATCAGATCTGAACCCGTCATGCTATAAGCACTTTGAACCGTGGCGTTCTTGTGCGGTCGACAGCTGTGAAATATTTTTTCATGAAAAAGGATTTATAAGGCGTAGTCATTTCAGCATAGCATTTGTCATAAAATGTAACAAAGAATTGGGAAAAAAACCCAGTACAGTAAACAATGGAAATAAACAAAGAGTTTGGAATTATTCCATAATCATTTTCTATTGAATATAATAGCAGATCATGAGTCACTATTGTGCAATCTATGACAATTATTCGTATATTTTTTCACTCTATTTATAATTTATTACTGCTAATCTTGTATACCGTGTATTATTTAACTATTATTTCAAGAGACTTTCATCAAAATAGAACAAACAATTGAAAAAAAAGTCAAATGACAAAATAATTACGAAAAAAGGTGAAAAACCTATTAATCAAATTCAAACACGTAATAGGACAGAAAATAGGAACGAAAAAGCAATATGATATATTTGTTTGCAATAACAACGTTTGATTCAATGAAATGAAGTTACTATGCGACTAAACACTTTTTTTACTTTTCACTCATATGAAACTGATTGCTAGAAGCAGATGAAAGAAAAAGAAACTTTTAAATTAAAACATAATAAGTCTTCTTTCGTTTTATAGAATCAACTTAATAAAACAAATATTATAACGAAAAGCAATATGAATGACTGTTGCACACACGATCATTCGTCGTAGATTTTGGCCTATGTTTATGTTTGTTTATCTGCTATTTCAAAGGATATCTGGGTAAAAAACCGTTTCGCCAAAAGACGATTCACCAAAAGACATTTCGCTAATAAATGGTTACGCTACCATACATTTTTATCAGTCCCTAAGTTAACTTAGAAGTCTCACTTATTCTTAATCCCCAACTCGACTTAAGTATCGTCATTTAAATTATGACCCCTGCTGTAGAAGCAGGGAATTTATACCAAGGGGATTGAAGAAAAATGAGTTTTTGTTGTTTTTATGTTTGTTTAAACAACTATTTTTTTCCTAAACCTAAATCTTTCTTTTCAGAATAAAATAGAAGAAGAAGATAAATAAAAACGAATTATTAGAAACAGGGTTGATAAGAGCTCCTTACACAAGAACCGTCCTAGCGCTGGATAATTGCCAGAATATGAAGCGTGGAACCCTAGCACTCACAAAATAATGATCTCGGTGGAAAGGAGTGCAGCACATCTAGCCTGATTCAAGTTCTTTCAGCAAACAATCAACTAGAGCGTTGCTGAGATTCAGAATAACACAACGGCCATCGACATTGATGTTCAGTGATGGATCACAGATGATGGTAGTGATCAAATATCGAGAATATGGCGCCGACTCGAGCGTGTTTTATCTCATCATCGAGGCTGACTATCTGACGATCATCGGCTTCGTCCACTAATCCTGGATTATTCATTATCATGAAACAGTAGCAATTATCGATCACAGTTTGGTGTCAGAGAGTAGATGATGAA